TGTGTGTGTGTGTGTGTGTGTGTGTGTGTGTGTGTGTGTGTGTGTGTATGTTTTGTTTTGTTTTTCTGAAAGCCTGAAGTAGCTGGGTAGTATGTTGGAGGGGTTCTGGGCTTAGAGTCAGAAGACCTGAGTACAAATCCTGCACCGCCACTTAATATATATCTGACAAATCAGTTAACCAGCTAACTCATCTACAAAATGAAGGGGTTCAGACCTGATGGCCTCAAGGTTCCTTCTAGCTCTGAATCCATAATCTAAATGAGATATGTCTCCAGAAAAAAAGGCTCAGTTTTCTAGGGAAATTTTCCTGTAATCTCCAATAAATTATGTAATAACAACAGTGCCAGTCTCAGTCATCCTTCTTTTGGTTGATGTAGGCCCTTTGCCTTAGAGGATGTAATGTACTTTTACATAACTGTAACCTCATATTCTTTTGCATTAAAGTATGTGTTTAATGAGTGCCAAATTCTTTTATAATGTTTCTACTACATTAGGCATTCTTGTTTCTCTACATTGCTATTCTGTGAACATGATTCCAGTTCAGCTAGCTATCTTTAATTTATTTTTAGATATGTCTATATTTTGAAACAGCCACGTAAATGAAAATCTGTTATAAAGGATGGAATAATGGACAGAGAATCAGAAAACTCTTATTCAAAGCATTTTGGCCTGGAAATTCCCACTGGAGTTTGTGTTCCATTGACAGAACCTTCAAGAACCCAGGTCACAGCTTCTTCATGACTATTCATCATAGTAGAACCTTATTGGGAAAAGAGCAAGAAAGATATTCTTTTAAAATTTTCCATAGAATTGTGAGTAAACATAGACACATGACTACTAACGAAAGAAGAGACAAATTGCAAGAAAGATGGGAACCAGGTAACTTGAACTTGAGTGCAGAAAGCCTTATCACTGGACTATGTGTGTGTGTGTGTGTGTGTGTGTGTGTGTTTTCATTTTGTCCGTGGAAGCTCACTAATCCTTTACAGAAGTGAGTAGGGTTGTGATTTTTATTGGTGGAGGAAATGCTCAGATAGATGAAACCGCAGATCAGGGAAACTGTTATCTCACCTGCAAAATAGTCAGCCCCCTCATTGCATCTTAAGTATTCTCACTCATGTCATTACAATACATGGAACATTGCTTATTCTCAAGATTATCTGTATTTGTGCTTCATGTATCTTCTTGGTATAGCTTGATTTTATTTTCTTCATTCTTAATTAAAATGTTAACATGAAACATAGATCAGTCAATTTAAATCTAAAAAGGAGTCAGAACAGTTATTTGTTGTCATGTAACCCAAACAACCACTTGATTAATTGATTAAAAAAAAAACTTCAATCAATTGCAGTAATGTGTAGACAAGCCTATGCATTCTAATGTAATGAGATATTGGTCAAGTAACTCACTTAAACATTTGCAAGAAGCTCACAACTAGTAAAACTGTGCTTCTCAGAAGTGAGACTGGACTTTATGTATAAGGAATATCCCTCCCAAATTTGACCAATATAAATAAATTACAAATGCTTATCATGGACACATTTCCCTTGTTTTAGAGACTCTCTCATGAGGGTTTAAGGATTGTCTCATTCTCCCAACTCCTATACTTTACCCAGGAAACCTGGAACAATATATTCATAGTAGACTCTAGAATACTGAAGTTCATTCCTGCTCATGAGTGTGCTATTCACAATATAACAGATCAAATTACAAAATGAGAAATCAAAGATCCAGAAAAAACCCTGGAATTACTTAAACCCAGACTTATGCTGGAGCCAGCTCAAATCAGTTCACAAGAGTTTATTGTTAAATTTTCTTTTTTTTTTTCAGCCAAAGACAAGGTTCATTAAAGATCCACCATATTGATCAGACTCTTAAGGAATCTGAACATTTGTGAGCTATTGGCTAGGTTCTTAAGGAATCTGAGCACTTTAATGAAGACGAGATCTAGCTTATATACAGAAAGATTGTGGGAGGGATCTAGGAATGGCCAAATAGTTTGGAGTGACTGGAGGAAGGGTCTAAGGAGCATCTGGATGGGAGTGACCAGTAGGCTGGGGTGAACTGAAGGCCAGAGACATGGACCACATGGCCAAGGGAGAACTGAATCTAGATAGGATTAAGTGTGGGAAGCGGCCAGGGACAATTCAGAGGTAATAGAATTGGGAGATTGGGATTAGTCACAGCGAAAAGCTTGTTGAGTGGATTACAGCCTAAGGCAAACACCAGGGATTTGGGAAAATCCAAGGATTTCTCTTTTTGGGGTCTGATCCCAAAGACATGGTCATTTCCTTTTAGGGGTCCAGATCCCACCTTCATCATCCCCCCCTCAAACAAATGGGACCCAAATTCTTTTAGGGTAAGGGGGAGAAGGTCTTGGCTCCTGAAACTGCTTCCTGCTGGCAAGGAGCACAGAGCTATCCCTGCCAGTTCCAAAGAAAAAGTTGTCTGGAACTGAGCACAGGCCGCATCCAGGGAACAATGGAGGTACATTGGCTGGTACCTACAGTTTGCTACCTACTGTAGGTGAACGGCCTGTAGTCTGGAAGACATAAATCTGACAGAAAAGGCTGCAGAGCCCAGATGTAGGGAGAAGTAAAATTGTAAGATCCCCGTTAAAATCATTTACATTTGACCTGAAGGATTATCTGATATTGTTACTTTTTCAAAAGTTTAAGTAACACTTTTGCAGGTGGAAGTTTTCCACCCTTGGGTTCAATAGCTATACAAAGGAATTGGCCAAAAGACTGACTTTCACTTCAATTATCACTGAAATTCTCCTCCCCAAAATAAACTGAAGAGGTTTCTGATTTAATTTCAATTGTTTGGGGGTAATGAATGACTACACATTCAGGTCAAAACAGCCAGATCTCACACACTTGCATTGATCTTTTACTGTCTATTTGCTCTGACTATAGCAATTTGCTATAAAAAGGTAAAGCAGGGATAATATTAGGATCCAAATATTTCAGGATAAAACATCTTGAATTCAGATAATTTAGTTTTCCAACCATGCAGTAGCAAATCCACCTCATTGCAGACTCAGCAATAGCCAGGTGGGTAGCATTCCTTTTCAAAGGAACATAATGGGGAAACTGAGCCAGGAGGATCCCATCTTAGACTGAGGCTAAAATTGTCCTCTCAGCCTTTCCTGATGCTGACTTCGCACCAGTGTCCCATTCTCTTTGAGTAGCCTGTGACATTTCTCTCAGACTTGGATTGTTGATTATCAATGGATTATTGTGATCTATCAGACAACTCAAAATAAAATCCTATGAGCTTTTACCTTAAACAGCAAGTTTCACTGATCACAACTTAGGGAAAACTTTTTCCAGGAGTTACATCTCAAATTTTAATTTATCCTGGTGTAAAAATCCAATCTTTAGAGATAATTTCTACATACTTACAAATTCTTAGCAAACCAAAACCCAAACAAGCTTTTTGGCAAGTTTACACATTAAAACAATAACCAACAATAGCCAAATTATTTTAGTGGTAACCAAGTTATGAAACCTCCAGAATCTGCTAAGATGTTTCTAGTTGTTCTAACTTTTCCCTATAGCCTCCATGAAGGTGGATCCAGGGGTGTAGATGGAAGGAGTAAGTAAGCCTCAGGGAACCAAAAAGCACCAGCAGTTTTCCTAATTTCCTAGCACAGGGAGAATTGACAGAATTGGGCATACGCTTCCTGATAAGGTGTCTGTCCTTGTCCTCGATGCTGAGGATGGTGTACCCAGGTCCATGGAGAGTCTTAAGGTATCTAAGCATTTGTATCACTAATGCAAGCGGACCAGATCCTAAAAATCTGAGCAGTGGCTAGATTTTAAGAATCTCATCATTTGGCTAGATTTTAAGTATCTGAGCCGAGTGTTAAATTTTCAAAGTGGACATTTAACACCTCAGAAATTGGCAAATGCCATAAATTAGGACTTAATTTGTTGCTCTGTTTATTGTCTATATTTACTAAGTGACAGAGAAAATGTTAATGCAGATTAAACTTAAAGGTGTTTCATGTGTATTTTTTTCCCTTCCAAAGCAGGATGTTAAACATTTACTAGCACACACCCACACACCAATTTATATTCTTGAGTATGAGAGTTCTGAAATAAAACCATCCCCACAAGTCTTGTCTTGGTCTATTCTTCCTGGCCTGTTCAAAAAGGGAGGAGGCGCATGAATGGTATTATTTTTTTTTCTTTTTGTCTCTTTCCTGCTATTCCTCATTTCTATATAGCACACCCATGAACTTCTCAGATTCTTAGGTAATCTAGAGAAATTCTCTATAAAATCCTTCATTTTTTCACCTCTTCACCCTGAAGAAAATGAGAGCAGAAATTTATCTTTGGTCCATCTTTTCTCAGTTGGCTCTCTCTTTATGGTAATTCTTATCAATTGTATGATCTCCCCTCTGTTACCAGCCCCACCCATCTCCCTGCATAATCCTTGGGATTATACTTTATTTTTCCAAGTTACCTCAATATGAAAGGAGGGTAGGGCTGATAATGCACTGGGCTTGGAGTCAGAAAATCTTGGTCTGAGTTTCAGCTTTACCACTTATTTTCTGTTAATTCCCCTGAGAATCAAGCCCTTATATATTAAGTGGAGATAGTAAATTCAATCAATTAATTAGAATTTATTAAAGTGTCTACTAGGTACAAGGCACCATGCTAGAATCCCAGAGTTCAAACTGGAATAAATCCTGAAGGCATATGAATTAAATGAATTAACTTTTTTTAAATTTCAAAAACTTATACAAATATAAAGTATTTTTATTACTTTCTATAATGTAAATACAAATGTCAAATGTTACCATGTTTAGGAATAATCATATTTTATATTTTAGGATATTTTATAAGTTAATACATGAATTACAACTTATGTGTTTAAAGTGAGTTAGTCTAAAAAAAGTAAATCAAATTTATTCCATTTAAAAATATTCAAACCAATTGTCATGTGAACAAAATAGTAATTATTATTATTATTATTATTAACTGAAAAGACAATTAGTAGTTAGGTGGTGCAGTGGATAGAGCACTGGACCTGAAGTTAGGAAGACTCATCTTCCTGAGTTCAACTCTGACCTGAGACACTTACTAGCTATGTGACACTGGGCAATTCACTTAACCTTATTTGCCTCAGTCTCCTCATCTATATAATGAACTGGAGAAGGAAATGGCAAATCACTTCAGTATCTTTGCCAGGAAAAGAAAACCTCAAATGGGGTTATGGAGAATTAGACATGACTGAAAAACAACTGAACAATAACACACCTAGCTCTTGCCCTCTAGAGGTTTGTAATCTAAGATGATGATGTCTATGATAACAGTAATTGACTTTTATGGAATGTTTTAAGGTTTGCAAATTACTTGACATATATTATCTCATTTTATTCTCACAACAATCCTGTGTTGGAAATGCTACAGTTACTATTACTTCCATATCAAAGATGAGGAAATGGAGGCTCACAATTGTTGTGAACTGCCCAGGGTTGCATAGTTATCATGTCTCAGAGGCAGAATTCAAAACCAGGTCTTCCTGCTCAGAAAGTTATCACTCTATCCATTACCCAAAACTGCATATCAAACAAATGAGTAAAACAAGTATCTCCCAGTGGGCACTAGCAAAATGATAAATGCATTTGCTTTGGTGGTGACTGGGATAGATTAATGACAAACCTAAAAGCCAGAAACATCTGCCCCCAATCACAAGACCCGGGTGTGAAAATGTGCTCCACACAGCCCACAATCTGGAGTAACACAGTTGAAGAATTTATAGAGCATTACATTATGAAAGCAGTGTCCAAGAGGAATAATGTAAAGCAGAGGTTGGAATAAAGGCAAAGTTCTAGAAGTCCTTCAACAAACAATAGCTAAGCACCTACTATGTTCCAGACACTGTTCTAGGTGCTGAAGACACAAAGTCAGAAACAAAACTGTTTTCCTCAATGCCCTTACCGCCAACATATATGGTGGTGGGAGATGCATCAGTTAATAGCTTGGTCCAACAACTGAAAAAGGGAATCAAGCTAACTTGTTCTTTAGACAGGACCAAACCAAGGAGGAGTTTCTACAAGTGAAGTCAGTACAGACTACATGGAGGAGATGGGATTTAAGGAGCTGATAGACTCAGGAGGCAGCATGATATTTTTGGTGGAAAGAATGCTGTATTTGGAGTCAGGCTTTTGGGTTTAAATCTTGCCCGTGCCACCTAACTTTGTGTCTTTGGTTAAATTACTTTTCCTTTCTAGGCTTCAGCTTCTTTTTGTGATTTCTAAGGTCCTTCCTGGCTCTAAATAATCGCTGTTATGAATATAGCTAGGCGGTACAGTGAATAAAATGCCAGGCATGGAGTCAAGAAGACTTCAGTTCAAATCTGGTGTCACTAATGTGACCCTGGACAAATCACTTAACCCTGTTTGCCTCAGTTTCCTCATCTGTAAAATGAACTGGAGAAGGAAATGGCAAACCACTCCAGTATCTTTGCTAAGAAATCCCTAATGGGGTCATGGAGAGTCAGACACAACTGAAAAACAACTAAACTATAACATACATATTTATACTTGTATGTATACATTTCTTCTGATTGAATGGAAGCCCTTTGCAGGGAGACATTTTCATTTTTCTTCTTTGTATCCAAAGTGTCTGAAAAATAGTATTCCTTCTATAAATGATATACTATTTATTTGATTCACAATCAGAATGATTAGTATATGAGCTTTTCTTGAATTTTGGAGACTTTGGAAGACTTTCCTTTCTCTCCTTTTCTCTGCCATCCCTACTTTGGGCCATAGGGATTCTGAATAAGGTTTTGGAAGAAGAATGAGCTTTATCAATTCTGGAAATTCAAAATTTGGTATGCTTAGTTTTCTAAAAGTGAGGGGACATAAGGGAAGGACTAATTAAGTCCATGAGCGTTTCATTCAAAACTGTTCAGGGACCAATATGAAACCCTCAAAAATCAATCAATTCAGGCCTCCCCAAAGACCTTTCCTTTCTCCCCAACTCATTCAAGGGTTTTATATCATCACTCATAATGCCACTGTCCTTCTTACTGAGGTTTTCACATTGGGGACCAGATTAGTATCTGAACACCACTGAGAAAAGCATTCCATACTCTGTAGACACTTCTTGACCTCTTTGTTCTCTCTGACCTTCCCCTTTCCTGTCAGCCTCATCCAGGATAGTTTCCTACAGACTGTCTTCATTTGGGGAGATTGGCATCGGAAGACCTGGTCTCCAAATCTAGCTCTGCTACTTACTCTGGGTGAATAGGGGCAATACCTTCAACCTCCAACATCTCTGTGTTAAAAACAGGGGATCAGCTAAGGTATCATCACAGCATCTCTCCCCTCTGACAATTTCTATCTGTCTTCTCCATGGCTATCCCCTTAGAGCCCTCATCACCTGTCACCTTTATTGTAACAGTCTCCCAACTAGGCTTCTCCCACTCCAGTACATTCTGCACACTACTGCCAAAGGAATTTTTTTTTAAATGTATCTGACCATGTGACTCCCCAGCTTCCTGTTGCTATATAGGATAAAATATAAATTCCTGTGTTTTACCTGTTCCTTGGACTTTCAGTCAGTGGATACACTGTCTTCCAGATTGCCCTAAGTTCTTTCTCTCGGTCACCTTCCTTTTATCTGCACCCCAATCTCTTCATCAAGTATAATTTTGAGTTGTGATTTCTTTCTAAGTTTTCTTTTTGAATTTTTTTTTCAGTCATCTCTTCTACCAATGACAGGCTCCTCATTACCTACAGGGCATCCTCCCTGTACTTGACTTGACATTGGGTCCATTCCATTCTCCTTGTTGCCACCGTGGTTGTTTTCCAGTTTCCCATTACACTTTGCCTCTGGGGGAGAGGCATGTATTGTCCTTTTCTTACCACACAGGTTACTCAGTATGGTAATTTTATATCATGCTCTGTTCAGCTGCATCCCAGTCTCCACGCCTGAAGCAATGAAACATGAAACATCCTATACTTAAATGTTCCCTAGCTCTGCATTTCTGGTGTTCATGGCCTCCTCTTAAAGCTGGAGCAATGTCTGTTCACCAGGTTAAGAATTGTGGGAAATGATGTATTCCAGCCTCCCTCTGATAGAACTCCACCTTGTATTTCCTTTCACACCCAGCCTCTTCCCTGTGACTTATGTGACTTATATTTCTCTCAGAGTGAGAGAAAGTCACCTGGAAAACAGAATAATAATGTGTTCAGTCATGTCTAGAGTGAAAAGGCATTTCTGATTTTTTTTTAATTTCACTTTCCATTATCAAAAGAAAATGTTTAGCTCTATAGTTATTCAAGCTTCAGCCTATACTCAGGGTTGCTTCAGTGATAACAGGCAGTGTGAAATCGACATCTGCTATTTTCCTTTTGAACATCTTATATAAACAACCTTAATTTGCTTAGTAAACCTGGAGGTATGACAGAAAATTCTGACCAGATAATTTTTTAACAAGAATTTTGTGGTAAATAATTGTTCCTTTCCTTTCTTTTGTAATATGTATCTATCTTCATTTTTTTCTTCCTTTGTCTTTCTTCTTTTCTTTCTCTCCATTTCTTTCTGATCTTCACTTCTTTCTTTTTCCATCTGTCCTTCCTTTTCTTCCTTCCTTCCTTCCTTGCTTCCCCTTCCTTCCTTCCCTTCTTCCCTCCCTCCTTCCTTTCTTCCTTCCTTCCTTCCTTCCTTCCTTCCTTCCTTCCTTCCTTCCTTCCTTCCTTCCTTCCTTCCTTCCTT